TCCTTATATAAGTAACAAAATGCACTATCATAATCAAAAATGTTGTTCTAGTACTATGACTAGATCCAAATGAGGGAAATTTCTTTAAACATTTATAATATAATCTGTAATTTTATCCCAGTCTGTGGAAATGTTTCTTTTTTAAAATCCCAACCAGTGGAAGTGTTTATTTTAAACTGTTTTTAATTAAACCACATTTAGAGATCATTCAAGGGCATGTAAACGTCTATCCACAGTCTTGTTTTAGACATTCCAAAATATCATTCAGTCATTCAAATTTGGGATACAATAATTATACATTGAGGGCTGTGATAGAGCTTTGTAATCCCTTTTCAAAGATTTTACAACTTGTCTAGACATATAATTATTTGAAACAGTACAGTATGCTTCAGTCAAGGGCATGACTTTCTTCTCCACATCACAGACTTTTCCTCTAACTTTGAGATTCTACAATGGGCTTTTTTTTTTTTTTTTCCTTTGAGGCTTATTTTCTATCAGAGATGTCTGGAGAATTGTACAGGGTCTCAGAAACATAGATTTACTCTCTCTCCTCTTGATATCAAGGCACCAAGTTTCTGGGGCTAGTTTTATAATTTTGCCACAAAAGAAAAAGAGAGGGAAAAGTATGAAAAAACAGTGACTTCTGAGATTTGCAACCTTTTAATCCGTTACTTATTCTCACTGTACAATTTGCTTAGTGTCTCAGAATCTCAGAATTAGAACTGATTCTGAGTTATCTAGATCACATTTCTCATTGTTAGTTTTCTTATAAGTGAGTGCTATCGGATTAATGATCCCCAAAACTACTTCTTGTCTGAAATTCTAGGTTATAGGAGTTTATAATATGAGTATTATATACAAGGTATAATGATAGAATGTGTGCTCAATTGCTCAGTCTACTCTTTGTGACCCCATGGACAGTAGCCTGCCAGACTCCTCTGTCCATGGAATTTTCCAGGCAAGAATACTGGCGCAGATTGTCATTTCCTCCTCCAGGGAATCTTCCTGACCTAGAGATTGAATCCCCAGTCTCTTGTGCCTCCTGCATTGGCAGGTGGAGTCTTTACCACTGCACTACCTGGGAAGCTCCATAATGATAGAATAGTGTGTATATTTATCCCAGTAGAGTTTTATTTGCAGCACTGGATTTATTCCTCCTAAGAATACTGAAATATAGGCAACACAGGTGATACTATCCTCATTTTACTACATGTAACCTTTATAATTTGGAAATAAAGGTAATAAACAAGTGGTGAAACAACCCCAGATCTAGGTCGCTGAATACGAGGTCTGTTGTCACTACATTCAGCAATCCAGACAGTTCAGGGTGAACTCTGGTTGAGATCTGTCTCTTGTGGCTTTGGCTTTTGTGGCTTTGTCTTCTAACTAGGACGTGTTAGGAATCTCATGACTTATTCAGGGTTTTCATACATGAAATGCTTTGAATTATTTGATTTTCTAAACTCCAAGTGCCTTGTATTTTGTTAGTGCTTATATTTGTAAAGGTTTTGCTTTACTAGGTGTGAGTTTTAGACTCTAATGTATACTTCCATTCACTTCTTCATTTATTCTGGAATAGTTATTCTGCTTGTCTTAAACCCTTTTCTGGACACTGAGAAAACAGCAATGGACAAATCAGACAGAAGTCTCTGCCTTGGAAGGATTTAAAATCTATTGAATTTTAAAGGAATTTTATTGGAATAAGAATAAAACACAAGTATGATGGTGGAACAATTTAGAATATGGGTAACCATTGTCTAGAAGTACAGGAAAAATAATGGTAACTTACCGAATACCACACTGTGCTCTCCATTATAAGCCTGCTGTCATTCCACCCTCACAGTGCCCTGATCTAGGTATCATTATTTTTCTCAGATTATAGATGAGAAAACTGCAGCTCAGAAGGATTAAGTGACTCATGTTTAATTCTAACCTAACTTAAATTTCATACCCTTAAGCAACTCTCTCCCCTTTGGAATACAGAACTTATAAAGAAAATAATTTATTCAATCGGTATTTACTGTTTTCCTATAATCAAGGCCCTGTGCTTCAGACCTGTAGGGAATATAATAATGATTAAGAAATGATTCCTATCTTTCACAAAGAATGTAGAAGGAAGAAGCACCAAAATCAGTGTGGTTAAAAAATACTTGTCAAGAACCCACTGTGGGCCAGGCGCTACACTTAGCAAAGACTGGTCTCGGTCCTTGGGGGATTTGTATCACTTCATTAGGGAGACATCAATGCAAAGCAGATAATTTTAAGAGATTAAAGAAAAAACAGGGTAACATAAAGTGGCTAATTATTGGGTAGACAGTGTCACAGTGATTCAAGTCAGAGAAGATCATTTTCCAGAGTAATGGGGATATAAATAACTCACCAAAGAAATTATTTATCTTTAGTAGAATTTTAGCTAATCATTACAAATATATTAATTCCCTGGCAGATGTTCTGCAAACTTGTTTCTGCTACATTTCTTCTTAAGCAGTCTAGACAAATTTCCTTGACTGCAGCATCCTAGGTAAAGTTCAAAGTGTGAAAGACAAGTCCTCGGGCAGGAAGCAAGTGCACACTGCTTGTAAACAAAAATGCCCAGTTTCCTCTGGAGCAGTGTGACCATGAGCACTCCCTTTCTACTGCTTCTTACTTCTGAAAAGCACACATTTGTCAAGCCAAAAATGGAGTTCAAATGCAAATGGTTTCTGAATGGTGATTTTTGTTGTAATACCATTGTTGTTGTTCAGTTGCTCAGTCATGTCTGACTCTCTGCAACCCCATGGACTGCAGCATGCCAGGCTTCCCTGTCTTTCACCACTTCCTGGAGCATGCTCGACTCATGTCCATTGAGTCAGTGATGCCATCCAACCATCTTGTCCTCTGTTATTCCTCTCTCCTCCTGCCTTCAATCTTTCCTAGCATTAAGGTCTTTTCTTAATGAGTTAGCTCTTTGCATCAGGTGGCCAAAGTATCGGAGCTTCAGTTTCAGCATCAGCCCTTCCAGTGAATATTCAGGACTGATTTCCTTTAGGATTGACTGCTTTGAACTCCCTGCAGTCCACGGGACTCTCGAGTCTTCTCCAACACCACAGTTCAAAAGCACCAATGCTAAAAGAAAAAAGTTGTAATACTAGAAGGACTAATACAAAGTTAGGAGTAGTGTTTATAGCAGCAGAATGTTAAAACCTATGTGGGCCCTTCTCACTACTATCTTTATAATCTTCATTTGTATCACATTTATCTGGTATCTCTGGGAATGAGATATTCCCCAAAATTGAATTTTCCTGATAAATGAAACTTACTATTTAAGTCTGTCCTTAGAACTTGTTAAAACTGCTACTACTTTCTGCTTCTGTCTTCTTAAGCAGAGTGCATTTGACATCTCATCATCTTTTATTTACCCATAATAAGTGGTGATTGTTCTGGGCTGGAATACCTTGGAACCCTCAGGAGTGATGGAGATTGGGGGCCAACTTACTTTTACACTAAGATCCCTAAGACTGCTAGGTTTTGCAGCTCTCATAGCAGAGTGTTGTGGGAGGTTGGGGGTTTTCTTTTTCTTTGCTCTGATTCCCTATTTTCCTTGGAAATTATTATCTTCTTATTTTCCTTAGCTTCTTACTCCCTTCCTCTTCATTGGTGAAGCCATTTGGTCCTCTACTTTTGCTTGTTGGAAGATATTTTATTACTAATTCAACTTCATTACTGGTTATTAATCTGTACCTTTTGTGTATTTCTTCCAGATTCAGTCTGAGGAGATTGTTCATTTCTAGGAATTTATCCTATTCTTCTAGGTTGTCCTTTTTGTTGTCATATAACTGTTTATAGTAGTCTCTTATGATCCTATGTATTTCTGCAGGGTAACTTCTCCTTTTTCATTTCAATTTTATTTATCTGGGCCCTCTTTTTTCTTGATGAGTCTGAGCATATGCTTATCAATTTTACGTTTTCAAAGAACTAGCTCTTAATTTGATTGACCTTTCCTATGGTTTTTAAGTCTGTTTCATTTATTTCTGCTCTGATCTTTATGATTTCTTTCCTTAACTAACTTTGGATTATTTGTTCTTTTCCTAGTTCCTTGAGGTATAAGATTAGATTGAGATTTTTCTTGTTTTCTGAAGTAGACTTGTCTTGCTATAAACTTATTTCTTAGAACTGCTTTTGCTGTGTTCCATAGGTTTGGAAAGTTGTGCTTGAAAGGTATTTTTTTACAATTATACTTAACCCTGTAACTAACACATGGAGAGAGTGATTTCATTAAAATTATCATTTAGGAAAACATCAAATACAGAAATCATTCAAGTATAAATTACTATTAAAAGTTGTGTAGGTGAAACATGAATATTACAGCAATTTTAACAGCCATACAAGCTTTGAAGAATAGGAAACAGTGTTCTTACAGAAAATATTTGATTTTTAATAGTGAAGTTTAGATATTTGCTACTTAGATGAGGTGACATTTCTGAGGAGAGAGAGCCTGCAAAGTTGTCTTAAAATTACAGTATCTAGACAACTCTATTCTTCTTGAGAGGCCTAGAGGGACTCTGGAGCAGTCAAGGTCACCCACAGTCAGAGCTGGGGTGGATAGGCTAATTTTAATATCTGATTACATTTGTCTCTATTTGATGGGAAAGCACCCTTCTTCATAGCTCTGAAAGAATACATAGTTCAAGTCTATGTTATCATACACATTTGTGAGATGACTTCCCTAATGGTTCAGCTGTAAAAGAATCGCCTGTAATGCAGGAGACATAGGTGCAATGAAGGTGACATGGGCTTGATCCCTGAGTTGGGAAGTCTCCTGGAGAAGGAAATGTTAAGCCATTCCAGTATTCTTGCCATGAAAATCCCATGGATAAAGGAGCTTCATGGACCACAGTCCATGGGGTTGCAAGAGAGTCGGACATGACTGAGTGAAACGACACAGCTACACATTTTCCAAAATTAATAATGATAACTGTGCACACTTTTTACCATTTCTGTGTGTCCAGGATTCCTTCACCATGAGGTCCTCCCTGCAGGCTGTGGCACTCTGGGGAAAGAAGGCCCCTCCACACAGCATCACTGCCATCATGATCACCGATGACCAGCAAATGATTGTGACGGGAAGTCAAGAGGGTCAGCTCTGTCTCTGGAATCTCTCATCTGAACTAAAGGTTAGTGAAAACAGTTAATATTGAGGCAGATAAACTTATAAGATAAACATAGCTTGCTGCTTTTACTAGCAATGACAGCGGAAGTTTTGCATGATTGTTAAAAAGGTGCTTACCAAAGTAATACATGGGTTTTACTTCTGAATTTGGAAAAATGAAGTATTATATGGTGGGTTGAGATCACATTGGAAATTATATTATGAATATTGCTAATCCTAACTACCAGTTAAGTGTTATCATCCTTTAAGCTATGCTGAGTTTTACTATTTTATATCCTGAATTATATGTTTAAGTAACTGAACTACAGACATGTAAGTATAATTCTACAAATTATGGCTCATTAATCTAAACAAACGGCACCCTTGGAAACTACTATTAACTAAATGAATAATATCTTAATTATCTGGGTGTTTGTCAGTTTGGCCTTCTTGCTATTCTTTTAGTCTCTGCTTGCCTGTGATTTTACAGGTCACATTGGAAAGCTCTAAATCCAATTTACTATTGTTGTCGTCCTATTTCAGAACCTGACCTCACCTAGGATTTGGCCCATTGATTAGCAATTAATTGTCCCTGTCCCAACTCATAAACATTTAACATATTGGAATAGATATTTGCTTAGCTCTAGTAGCCTCTAGACCCAATTCGCACACTTAAACTAATGATGTACTTAAAGTATACTGCCCTCATTAAGAAGCCTTTTAAAGATCAAAGACTATTTTTAGCCTTTAAAGTTTGTCACTTTAAAACCTAAATTAACAATTAATTGTAATTCTATTTTATAGTGTAATTAATTAACATCTCCCATCACTGAGCAGTTACACTATAGGACTGCCAAGAACTGCACGCAGACCAGCTCAGCTCAATGTTTATGAACATTCCTGAAAAAAGGCCTGGGCACTATTACAATAACTGAACTTTGATACTGGCCCTTGCATTTATTATCTCTTACAATTTAAACTCAGAATCCTAAATGACTTATACTATCTTGCTACTGTTATTAATGTTGAAGTGTAGGGTTCCCTGGCTGAAGTAGTAGTTTTTATAATATGTTGGTTGCTATAAGTTTAAGAAATTTGGAATCCTAGCATCTGTATCTTTTTACATGTGTTCCTGGAATTTACTCACCATGCATTTATTGGGTGTCTGTTGTAACTTAGGCAGTATGAATGAATACTTACATGAATGAAAAGGCCTGGTACTGGCTGCCTATCAGGTTGCAGTGTCATAGGAGAAGGACGTAACTAGTAACTGCCATTGCAGTTATGTTATAATACAGGGTGCTCTTTGTGGGGATCAGTCTATACTTCATCTTCAGTGGGGATAATTATTTCATGCTCTTCTTAGGAGCAAGTCTTCTGCTTGGGGTTAGAGCAATAGCAAGGGAGGTGCTATTGGCATCTTGTGGGCAGAGGCCAGGACTGTTGTAAACATTCCATTGTGTAATAACCGCCCCTTCACAACAAAGGTATTATTCCACCCAAAATGCTAATAGTTGCTGATATTGAGACATTCATGGTTAGAAACATGGGGTGGGAATGGAAATCAAATTGGTAGGGCTGGAAGAAACAAGGAGAATCATTGAGGAAACAAGAAGAAAATTGGATCAGCTTTATGTTTTGGAAATTCACTGTGAGGATATTGTGAAAATTTAGTTACATGAATAAGATATTGATTAGTATGACTGTGAGATTTTCCACATGAGAGTTTTCCTTAATATTTTCTATGGCTAATCATAGGACCAGAAGGAATGAGCATCTTCTCTTACTTTTCCCTTGAATCTTGCCCCTACATGACAATGGGTCACCTATTACCAGAAAAGATTTTAGGCTTTTCAAAAATCAGGGCATGTTTGAGTTTTCAACAAATATCTCTTCTGTCTGTAAGACAGTCAAGTGAGTGGCCCACCAGTGATATTTTAATGCTTAGTATTTTGCTTAAAAATGCATTATATGTATATATAATGATTATGTATATATAATGTATACTGTATGTATATATTATATAATGTATAATGTCTGTCCATGAGTAGTGGGATTGCAGGGTACAGGGGAGCTCGAGAATAAATGTCTCCATGTCCTGGGCTACTCATCACATGTCTAGATTTTGCATTCTGCTTCCAGGCTCAGGGTCTGGCTCCCAGTGACATCTGTTTTCCCCAGAACTTTGTGAGGTCTGAGGAACTTCCCATGATAGGAACTTCCTCACTTGGGGGCTTTTGATATTGATTGCTGGCATTCATCTCTCATACCTTTGAGCATAGAAAAACGTGATCTCCGAACATCCTCTCAGATATAGTCTGTTAATATTGGTATGTTTTATATATGTGTGTGTGTGTGTCTGTGTGTGTATATACATATATATATATAGCTGTTTAATACTCAGAAGGAAACACAACAATGACAAAATGAATAGCCATGTTGAGTAGAGACAAAGAATGATGTCTTGGTCAAATCTGAGGTCTGATATTTACCAACTCTGTGGTGTTGGGCAACTGATTTCTATTCTTTGAGCCCTAATTTCTTCAACTGTGAGATGGGGATTAAGCCCTGTTGATGACTGCATGAGTGCCTGGAATATGGTATATGCTCATCAAATTGTATACTCTTTTCCCTTCTCTATTTGTGCAATTAGAAGTACCTGAGTTGGGAGTGAGGGGGACCAACACTTCAAAGAAGGGGAGTGCAAGAATAGAAGTAAAGGTCCCTAGATTTCATCATGACAGTTGATTCTATGTGACTACAGAATTATTTTTTTGTTATTCTTCACACAGCATATGTGATAAAATGAGTAGGTTATAGTGAATTGTCACAGTGTATTCAACTACACATGAAGATTTAGTAGCAGAACGAGGACTTCATATAAAGGGCAATGGTGTTTTGTTCTGATATTTTGTCCATAGTGGTTTTTCTCTGGAGGAGGAGTATCCTTGATTTGCCCTGAATCTTGCTTATTTTGGCCTGTAATATAGAGGAAATGGGTTAAATTCATAGAGGTGTGTGTTCCCAAATGTGATGATAGGGAAAGACAGCATGCTATTTTCTGAGATGCAACCAGTATTCCCAGGAAGAAGACAGAGAACTTGGATTGGAAGCGATTATAACCAACTGTAAAACACTCTTTATAGCACTAGAAATTTATTCTGATAAGAGATCTTTTAAAGAAGTATTTCTGATTAGTATAGAAATAAGATGAAAGCAGAGAATTATGTTATCAAATAATATGTTCTTTCTGATATGTTGTGTTACGGGGGACAGACTTCTTTCACATATGAGATAATGGAAGAATTAATCTTTGGTGTCATTTTAAAATTCACATATAGGAGGAAAAAATTGGCATTTTAAATGATAGCTTGGTTAAAATTTTATTTCTAAAGTTGAAAGTTCATTTTCACTATTTCTGAGGCAGGACTTCAAGTAAAGCATTGTAATGGTTACAGGAAAGGTAATATTTTCTCTGCATTATTTTGTAAACCCATTCCTGAATTCTGAAATCTGCCACTATCAGTTGAGGCACATTTTGTGCATAATAAACATCAACACTGATTTATTTGTATTCAAAACCTAGATCTTGTAAAACAGGTCTGGCCATTATCTAGGCTTTATGATGGATACAAAACCAGAAAACCAATGAAAAATGTTTATAACATAATTCCTTTATATAGAAGTTTATTATCCTGGGGACTTTGATATGCCATATATCAGTTTTCCTGAAACTTACATAAAGCAAAAACAAAGAGCACTTTCTGATTAGAAGTATGAATAATTTTATAATGTCATATTATATTCTTCAACTAAAAAGTTACAGCTATTTAAAAGTTTACTCTCATCATTTTCAGATTTCAGCCAAAGAACTTCTTTTTGGCCACTCAGCTTCAGTGATGTGTTTGGCAAGAGCGAGAGACTTCTCTAAACAGCCCTTTGTAGTTAGCGCTGCTGAAAATGGGTAGGTGAGATGTGTGAAACTGTGTTCCCCTCTCCATTCCTTGTCCATTACAAAAGCACTCTGATGGGATACAGACATCTAGAGCTGAAGGAAACTTTAGTGATTAACATGTTCCTTTTACATATAAGAAAAGTTAGATCTTGAATGGTTGATTAAGACTTGTGTGACAGTCCCAAGGAAAGTAATCAGTATTAGGACTCCCTATCTTTGAACATCCCAACATGCATATCAGACCTTGTGGCAGCTTCGCTGTGTAAAGGATGCTGGTAAAAGCTGCTTAATATAGACTTCAAAATGGAAAAGTCTGGGCACTTGTCTTTTTTCATGCAGTAACTCCCTTTGAGCTATTAAGCAAACCCACGCAAGCTTTCACAGTTCTGTAAAATAATTCAGCGATACAATCTTTATGCTCTACCCTTGCTTGATATCATTGAGGAGGGGACTCACTTGTGAGTGGGGGTGTGGGAGTGAGGAGGAGAAGGAACATAGTGATTGGGTGCAGTTGCATGGGAGAGATTTATTCAAATGAAATAGGACTTAGCTGTAGGAAAAAGCCTTACTGATGGAAGAGCTACCATGAACTTCTCTGCCAAAGAGATATTTAGCAAAGTATACTCCGGAATGCAGAATCCATTCAGCATGAGTTAGTGAACGAGGGATTAGGTTGCTGGTTGAAGGAAGAGAATTCCCTCCTTTTAAATTTTTAACCCAAGGAGAAATTATATGGCTTTGAATTCTGAGGCACAACAGAATAGTGAGGAATCAAGTGTCTAATTTTAGAAATGGAATAGTTTAACAAAAAGGCCTGTGGTGCAGACAGCAAAGAGATACCTATGTTCTCATAGCTTATAGCAAAGTCATAACTGTTATTCTTAGAGAGACTGGACTTTGAATAAGGCTCAAATGAAATGTCTTAGTACATTCTTTTTAAATAATCACCTTCCTTTTGTACACTAGGGCTGCCACACAAGCTGAGATATTTATTCCCAATCTAGAGAATTTGGGTGATGTTGAATTTTTCTGACACTACTTGCAGAACTGAGAAAGTTAATAGCTGAGTGAGAAATATATCTGAAAACTACCTGTGTTCCACCTTGAGGTTTTTGCCCATAGTAGCCTAGCTTCAGAAAAGAAACTAGAGGTTAATAGACATATTCTTGATGATAGATGAATTCAGCTGTGTAAGTCCTGTAACTATGATTGCTAAAGAACTAGAGAGTCTGGTTGGTCTTCCTTTTCTAAGATGATTTGAATTTTCTAGAACTCTGTTTCTTTGGGGTCTGACACCCTACACCTATGAGATTCTTCTAAGGCAATTTACACTTTAGCCATTGCATATTTAGCAAATCCTAATTCAATTTACTTAAACTTATTAAAATTGCTAGGCTGGACCGATCATTCTCCAAATAACAATGATTTTTTTCTTTTTTTTAACTTTTAAAAGTCCCAGGAAGTGACTGTGAGCTTAGCATTTCTAACTCCAAAATGATCAGATTCATGCTGATCATGACTGCTTCCCGACTTAGTTTTTCTTTTTTTTTTCACTTAGTATTACTTCATCTGTAGACATAAATCCTAATATTCAGGAATCCCATTGATTTCCATGATAAATAAATTCTAGGATAAAGGGAATAAATACCTGGACCCTAATGTTGAAATGATGGAATGCCAAAGAAAAAGAGATCCTGAAGTACACAGTGAGAAAAAGCGGATTATTTATAAAGGAATGTCAATTAAACTGAGAATTGACTTCTTAACAATAAAATGAGAACTAGATAGCAGTGAAATATCTTCAAAAAGTGGAGAGAAAATATCTATCAACTTGAAATTATATCTCCAGCAAAAACATCTTCAAAAAATTAGGGCAAAATAGTAACACTTAAGACAAATACTGAGAGTGTTCACTGCCAACAGACCCTCTATAAGTAATGAAAATGTAAATTATATTTTTCAGTAAGAACAATGATTTCAGAAGGAAGATCTGATAGAACAAAGAACACTGAACAAAACTCAGCAAAGTTTTAGAAAATTTAAATAAACACATATTATATTATAATAACATTTATATGTACCTCCCATCCATCTCCCCCATACATACACAAAATCCTAATCAACAACTGTATATAATAAATGTAATGATCAGACCCCACATGCTCTGGTGTTACAAAGGTGGGTAAAGATGTTGATTAACCTTAGACTTTAAACTAGATATACATGCTGACATTTCCAGGGTAGCTGCTAAAAGAACAAACAAAAGAAATAAAAATGAAAAAAACAGAATATATAACTTCCAATTTGAAACAAGAAAAAAATTTTCTTTAATCCTAAGGCAACAACAATAAATGAGATAAATAGCACAACATAAGATAATTGAAATAAATCTGAATAAACCAGTAACTCAATTAAGTAAAGGGACTAAGTCCATCAGTAAAGATTATAAAACAATTTAAAAGATAAAAACAGCATATGAATACGTGAAAGTTAAAAAGAATGGATGTAAAGAGATTTATCAGGGGAATACTACTGAAAATAATGTTAATATAGCTATATCAGCATATTATATTTGTAAATATATTTAGTTACTAAAGCCTTAAGACAAAAAGGCTTTACATTGATAGAGTTATTACTTATTAATAAAACTTCCAACCATCAGCATGAGATGATACTAGAGAGATAGGCATGCAGACACTCAGTCTTCTAGAATAGTGTTCATCAAATCTGAGCCTTTCTCAGGACCACTTACAGATTTCTGAGCCCCATTCTCAGAGGTACAGATTCAGTAGGTCTGGACTAAGGTTCAAGAACTTGCATTTCTAACATGTTCTTGGACAGTGCTAATGTTGCTATTTCAGAGGAATATATTTGGAATGGTAGGTACCCCACATCTGGGGCAGCAAGAGCAAGTGTGAGGTCAAGAATGACTTGGAAAACTCATTGGTGATGATATTCATTAAGAATGAAAACACAGGAAGGAAGATGGTAGGCCTCATTCTAAATACAAGGGGTGTGAAGTCCTACAAGTCATCCAGGTAGAAACATGCAATTGCTAGTTGTATGTGGAAATCTAGAGCCCAGTGAATAGACCTTGGCTTCCAATATCACGTTGATGGTACTCGAAGTCATGGCAATAGATAACTTATCTAGAGAGAGTATGAAATATGAGAATATAAGAAAGCCCAAGGCACAAATCAAAGGAAAACCAACATTGAAGAAGTGGGCATAAGAAAATAGGAGCCTGAGAATGCCAAAGAAAACCCAAAAGTATTATTGAAGACAAAAGTGAATTTGAAGAATAAAATAGATTTTTAATTCAAGATTGCAAACCAAACATTCATATTTATCTCCTTTCCCTCTAGATGCTCCATTAAAATGTGAGCAACGATAACAGTGTTGTAAGCACACAAATATGAACATAGGAATAGAGCCAAGGGAAACCAGTGTATTTTTGAGACGCAGAAAGTGAATGAAAGAGTAGTGACTGATTTATGTATCCATTGAGTGAATTTTTATTGAGGCTCTCAGGTGGGGATGTGGAGTTGAATAAGAAAAAAAGGCCCTTTGCAAAGGAATTTTTAGTGGGAATTTAATAACATTATAATTTTGTACGTTATAGATTTTTTCCAGTGTGTTTTTCTTTTCACTGACGTTTTAAAAATTTTGTAAATTGTTAAATTACATTTTTACAGTTGAAGGTGATTTAATCTACGTATAAAGTTTGGGAGCAGTATTTGAAAACAAAAAGAATGTCCATTCTAATAGTTTATTTTCATGTCTTATTAGATATGTAACTGAGCAGTTCCAGCTCACTGCCAATGCTACTTTTGACATACAATAAATTTGCTTTTCTTTCTTTAATAGAATTGATTGGCAAAGAGTTAATTTTTACTATATGATATTTTTGTATTTTTTTTCCAATTTTAGGTAGACTATAGCACGATAAGCAAACACACAGGGAAAGCATTAGAATCCAAGAGACTTTAGAAACATTAGTATCACTGAGAGAGCTTTTATTGATGTCCAGGCTCCAACCTTGGAAACTGTGATTTAATTAGCCTGGCTTGATGTCTGTGTTGGGTCCCAGAGATCGGTATTTTTAAAAAGCTCCCTGATAATTTTAATGTAGAGTCAGAGTTTAGAGTCACTAGTTTAGAGTTAGAGTTATCTAGAAACAAGTTAACTGACCAAAAACTGTGCAAAACCCCACATGCCAGGACTCCAACACAGAGCCATGAGATTAGAGTCTCTGAGGAAACTTTAAAAATATTCACAGGTGATGCTTGATGATAGAGAACCACACTGATAAGCTTAAATTATTTTGTAGAGCTAAAATTTTACATTGATGACTGCTTAAGTTTCCATTTCTTTATATATATATATATATATATATATATATATATATATATATATATATATGTAAAACTTTTGAGATATTATTTCAATTTCTACCTTTTCCCCAGTCTTATTTTTCACACACACACATATACCCACTTTTCCCCTGTTTTATTGAGCTTCATGCCTTTTCAGGTTACCTCAAATCCTTTCTGGCCTACAGTTTGATATAAACAAAGAGAAATAAAACCACTACCGATATCTAGTTCTATATCTAGGATATGACTTTTCACCTTCAACACTAATGACATATTGGACCACTGAAGAATTCTTTGTCCTGTCTGTGCATTGTAGCACATTTCGCAGCATCCCTAGCCTTCCCCACTAGATGCCAGTATCGTGTTCCTAGTTGTGACAACCAGAAATGTCTCTAAACATTGTCAGATGTCCTTTGTGCGGCAAAATCAGCTCAGGTTGAGAACCATTGATTTCAAGATTGATTCCCAGTGTTTGGCCAGAAAAAAACCCAAAGTCTGCAAACACCAAATGCATACAGCACTTACGGTTTCTGGTCCATATCATTTGCTTCTTAATAGCGGCTCTCCATTAAAGCCAATAAAGCTTTCGCTTTTCTTCCCAGGAAAATTTTGCTTATGTGTTGAAAGTGTCAAAACTGAAGAATATTGCCAAACAACTCTGAAATAGCCATTCTAGTTTTTGTGAACTGAAATCATACAGATTTAAACTGCTTTACACTGGATGTATTTGTAACTGGATTTCAAAACTGTATCTATATCTTCGTAACATATATGTAATCAAGTCAGAATTTTCTTACAAATGAGAATTTTCTTACTATTAAGTGACAAGGGTGATTTCAGGATTTCAGAAGTGAAGGAATTAAGTGTATCAATGACAGACCAAATGTCGCCTCTTGATGGCACTGTTTATTTTTACAAAAATGATATCTGAGCTCCAGAGATGCAACACTTGATGTATTATGCTTTTCAGAATATGTAGTTTTAAGCTCAGTAAAATAAACCATTTTCAATACTTTGCAGTTTCCATAGAAAGATTGCCATCCTGTCACTCTCCCAGGCTGGATAGCTGCATCCCCACAATTGGTTGGAGGTCAGGTTGGCACTCAAATATGGCTTGTAAGCTGGTGGCAGGGTGTAATTACCAAACAAAAAGACACAGATACAGTATGTCATCCCTGTTAATGACCACAACATTTTCTTGACCAGTAATCTGTAACGAAAAGCCACATAAACGCTCAGGCTGCATTTAAGTGCAGCACTAAAGAAAAACTTGGTGGCACAAAAATTATTCCAGCCAATTGAGTGGAAATGACAGAGAATAATGCAAAGTTATCTCTGCTAGGGAGATGTGTGTTTGGAATGTCACCAATGGACAGTGCGTGGAGAAGGCCATACTTCCTTACAGACACACTGCAATCTGTGTAAGTATGATCATTCCCTTCAGAACATCTCCAGATTCTACAGCTCCTTATGATCATTTGCCTAGCACACGTTTAAAGACTTTAGAGGGATTCTTTCCTTGAATTTTTATTTTGTCATTAGAAGTGTCAGTTATCGTCTGTTATTTTGGCATTTTTCTTTCCCCAGAGTAACTACTTAACCATTTTTTTCTTAATCTTTCTTATATCTCTGTATCTTTCTAACACAGACACATTTGAAAGATAATTTCCTTATTTTTCCTTAGTTACATTTACAAAACATATGCTCACAATGACACACACAAAAATGGTTTCCATTTTATCAACAGGCAGTTTTATAAAGCACATTTTTTTCCTTGTTTCCAATTTAAGTCTCTTTTGGGTGCATAGGTTCTAAATTTCTTATTTATGAAAACAGAGCAAGAAGCATAGCATTAATCTTTATAATCACATCCCAGTATTGAAAAGAGGTTTTGACTTTTGGTAGATGAACTCCAAACATATATTTAAGGTAGCTGCATGATTCCAATGGTACTGACGCTGTTTTTTACTTTGTACACATTGCTTTCAGCATTGATGACTTGCATTGCATCACTTATGAACTCCTTTCTGGGATGAAAACTTTTGCATTGTGATTGTCAAGGGTAGATTATAAACTTTAATATAAGGCATTCTTAAAATTTATTTGGCACCAGAATTCCTCGAAAGTTCTTAATTTTTATTTCTTCTTAACACGTAGCAGTACAGTTAGGATAGGAAACCTGTTTTTGTTGTTTAGTTCCACACAGCATCCCAGAATTAATATAATTAAGAGCTTTCCAAGATTTGGATTAAAGTTGCTTCTTCTCAAAAGACCCCTCCTCCTTCTCCAGAAAAAATGATGAAATATAAGCAAGATAAAGTGCAAAATTAACCCTTCAGAAGTGTGCAATCATTGAACTAAAATAAATTTTAGTTGCTATTCAGCCTAATACCTTAATTGATAGATGATAAAATTAAAATTAACAGAAGTCTTCATCACAGCCAAAATTCTGTTAATTGCAGGTGATAATTAAACTTTTATTTTGAATTCCATTTGCATAGTATTACCACTGCTCATCCCGGATGACAGGAGAAGGCTGGCTTCTGTGTTGTGGAGAATATCAAGATGTTCTTATAATTGATGCCAAAAGCTTGGTTATTATTCACACATTCGTATCATCTCGGTCTCCTGATTGGATCAACTGCATATGCATTGTTCACTCCATGACAATTCAAGGTAATAGTTAGGTATTCGCTAACACTAGAGATAGCATATGAAAATATCACCTTCGAATTATTTGTTAAATTATTGGGCAAGAGTTCAGAATGCGTGTTTGTGTTTACCTAAGCCAGATCAAGAAAAACTGACAACACCCATCCCAGTGGTTCAAATCACTGGACAGTCAGCAAGAGGTCAAGATGAAGTGGAGAGAGGAGACACTGTCTCCATTCCCCAGCTCTGCTTGATGCGCTGTAAAAGTGACAAGCAGAGGTTCACTGCGGATTACCCGGACTCCTGGACTTGCCCTGCTGTATCCTCTAGATGTAGTCAGGAAGAGAATTCAGCTCCTGTAACGAGGGAAGGCTAGCTTGTTACTTATTTCCAAAACAGGAAGGCGTAATCAGCACTGCCGCCATGGTGGTTTGCAACATGGATCGGCTTTCAGTGGTGCTCTCCTCTTACATGGAATGACTTTGAAATTTTAAGACAAATTTAGAATGTGACCTAAAATGCTTATTCTTTTATTTTAAAAAAAATTGAGTATTTTCTACCTATGTAGCCTTGGATAATCCTTAAATGACGATGAAATGATCTTCAGGGCAACCAGTTATAACAGTGATCAGTTTACATGTGATATTTGTTGTTTTTAACAGAAGATTCTCTCTTGGCGGTATCAGTAGCTGGTGAGCTCAAAGTATGGGATCTTTCTTCATCTATCAACAGCATTCAGGTTGGCTTGTGAATTTATCCTTTATTCTTCCAATACAAGCATATGTATTGAAATTTTTAAAATTAGAAGTATTTCTGTGTACTTTTCCCTATCTCTTTTCCAAGCTGTGGGCATTGGTAACAATTGAATGGTATCTTTCCCAACATTTTTTCCATATGTATACACATGTTTTTATCTACACACACATGCATGCGTGTGCACCTGCATATACACACACACACACATTGATTTTAATTGAAAAAATCCATCATAGAGGAAGATTTCTCTGTCCCTTACAACAGAAGATTCCCTTTCTTCTGGCTGTGTATGAGCAGTGGCAGTGGCAGGGCGATTACTATAAATGACTGAGGGTAATACAGACTGGGAGTCCAGTCTATTCACCTGCTCTCTGGCATCAGGCTACAAGTTGAGGTGATGAACGAAAGAACAGTCACAGTATTTGTGCTGCTGACAGAATTCTTTCAACTGCCTCATGCTCTGGGCTATCCTTCAGAATTTCTTAGCTGGGAAATTCCATAGCGTGGCAATTGTGTTGGCATCCTGAGACCAACACACACCCAGCATTATCAGAAACATTGAGAACATAGTATTCTAAGTATTCTGTGCTGATCACTTTTTGTCTTTTCAAAATATTTTGTTCTTCTATTTTAGCAATTAAGACACTTCAAAGGTTTTTAACAAATTGTTTTTACTTTTCATGGTTTTATCTTTCTGCTACATCTAAAAGTCAATGTATCCTGCAGTATATTCCCCGAAAGCATGTTTATTGAATGATTGTATATAATGAATTCCTGAATTCAACTGGGTTTCCTCTTTATGGTTTCTTTTGCAAAGTAGATTCTCAGTTCAGAAAACTCAAAAGGAAAATTGGCTTTTTTTATAATAATAGTGTGGTCTACTTCAGGTGTGCAGGGGAGGAGTCTTCTCGTGCAGTTTGATATAAATTGCCTACAACTAGTACTAATATAATTTTATTCCTTTTGAAGGAAAAGCAAGATGTTTATGAAAAGGAATCCACATTTCTTAATTCCCTGAACTGCCGAGCAATACGATTTTGCACATACACAGAGAGACTTCTACTGGTGGTATTTTCTAAATGTTGGAAGGTATTATTAAATAACATAATAAACACAAATGTAGTTTGATTTTTATCTTGTTTAGTGCAAAAATTAGAAGAATATATTTTAAATATGATACAAACATTTTAAAATATTGTTATGACAGCAGTGATTTACTTGTCTTTTATTTTATGACCGACTTTTATCAGTTTTCCTTCCCTGAATTGGGTAGTTTGCTTCCCAGGATATTGTACATATAAACTACATCTTAATTTTATTAATAACAAACTATTATAATAATTAGCATTTATCTCAGATTAAAGAATTGATGCCTACACTTTAGAATTAAAAAGAAAGCTAATATTTTCTCTACATACATTGGTCTTAATTTAGATCTTTTTTCTTTTCCTGTTTTGTCATTAAATTTGTTTTTAGGGATTCCTTTCTTGTAACTGTATTCACATCTCCAAGAGGAAATGAAAGCTAAGTTACTATCATTTGATAGTATCCTTTTTTTCTCTGATATTTCATATACTCGGCTAAGTTAACAAAACTATATTGTCTTACTTAAAGGCCTATATTTCTGAACTAAAATGTAAAGTACATGGCCTAACATGTACGTTAGGATTTCTACTGTATTAAATTTTTGTGTGTAATAAATTTTTCAAATGTTCATGTTTGACTATCCATATGAAAAGAATGAAATTGTATAGGAAATCTGGGATGTTTTGGTCTCTGTGGTGAATATTTTGGGTCTCTGTACTTATTAAGCACATTCTGGAAGGTTTTTGTCAGATAGTTTATCCACTGAAACCTACCTAGGGTAAACGTGAAAAAATAAGTACTAATGAAGTATTATCTTGGCCTATGAGTGCATTGTGGCCTGTTATTAATACTTAATTGGTTGTTGTTTTAACACTGTCATCTGAATAGTCTTGATAAGCATACTTTATCTTTCTCCTTAGTAGATTAGACAGGAAGTTTTTGTTAACAAGCGTCATTCATTCTGTGTTTTAGGTTTATGATTATTGCGATTTTGCCCTTCTTTGGACTGAAGTTAGTGGCAGTGGGCAGCTCTTTGCTGGTGGAGAAGTGCTTGCTGCTCGCAGAATCATCATCTGGACGGAAGACGGTCACAGTTCTATCTATCAGCTGCTGAACAGGTGGGCTCAGATGGAAATGGCATACAAAACATTCAGGTAGAAAATGAACTTTGGGAGGTTTATTATGGAAAAATCCCCGCATGCTGCCCATGATCAAAAACCAGAACAAAGCAACTTTGGCACTAGAAGATTTACTCTGGGCTTGGTAGGCTTTAGCCTTTGTATGAAACAGCAGGGGACGAAGGAATGAGATTAACCATGTATAACTTGTACAGCTGGTGCTGGGTTTTCAAAAAGTCACTTGTAATTATTAACCCAACAATTTCTAACTAGAGTTTAGAAACCTGAATGGTACCATCCGGCTTTTGAAAGTGGGAGGGGAAAATACTGAATAAAGAACCCCAAAGTTCTAAACTTTGCTTTTTATATTTTGCTATGCAGTGGGCTTTCAAAAAGCATATACCCTGCTGATGGAACACTGCTTAAAGAGACCATTTATCCTCATTTACTGTGCTCTACTTCTGTGCAGGAAAATAAGGTAATGTAAGAAGAGAGTGACTGCATCAAAGCTGTTTCAGATAAGTGTTACTTTGTAACAGATTCTGGCTTGAAAAAATTGAAGCATCACATCAAGTTGTTAACGAGAAAATTAAATCTAACTATTAATGGTTACTGAAATCTTTTCCTTTAACGAATCTATTTTTAAGTCTGATTAACTAAACAATACATACTTATTATAGAGAATTATAAACGATAAAAAAGGGAGAAATTAAAAGTTCTAATTTTATCACCATAAATATTCACTCTGAGTTTTTTATTTTATGTATTTACTTATTTTAATTGGAAAATGTTCAAATATTTGAAGGGCTATAAGAATAGTACATAATCAGTACATACCCTTTACCTAGATTCACCAGTCATCAACATTTGCCATATTTATTTCTTCTCTCTCTCATTCTCTTTCTCTCTCTTGCTGTCTGCATACACACACACATACACATACTCACACATTTTCCACTAACCCTTTTGATAGATATTTTGATACAAAGTTACTAACATTTTGATACATCTACTTTAATTTTTAAATGTTATCAAATGGCTCATATCCTGACCTTTTTTTTTTTACTTAACTGTATATTGAGATCATTCTTACATGCATTTAGCTATTCTTCTGTATAAAGTTTCTTGTTAAAACAAATAAAATTATGGTTCTTGGCAGAGAGTTGAGGATATAATTGTGAGCTTTTACTTGACTAAATTATATCTTTGACACTCTACGAAGCCTGAAAATTTAAGCAGCTATTTCATTTCAGTAGTGTCAATGAAAGTTGTTTTTTTTTAACCTACTGGATTTTAGTTCAGTTTAGTCACTCAGTCGTGTCTGACTCTTTGCGACTCCATGGACTGCAGCACACCAGGCCTCCCTGTCCATCACCAACTCCTGGAGTATACTCAAACCCATGTCCATTGAGTTGGTGATGCCATCCAACCATCTCATCCTCTGTCGTCTCCTTCGCCTCCTGCCCTCAATCTTCCCCAGCATCAGGGTCTTTTCAAATGAATCAGCTCTTCGCATCAAATGGCCAAAGTATTGGAGTTTCAGCCTCAGCATCAGTTCTTCCAATGAATATTCAGGACTGATTTCCTTTAAGATGGACTGGTTGAATCTCCTTGAAGTCCAAGGGACTCTCAAGAGTCTTCTACAACACCACAGTTCAAAACCATCAATTCTTCGGTGCTCAGCTTTCTTTATAGTCCAACTCTCACATCCATACATAACTACTAGAAAAACCATAGCTTTACTAGATGGACCTTTGTTGGTAAAGTAATGTCTGCTTTTTAATATGCTGTATAGGTTTTTCATAAATTTTCTTCCAAGGAGCAAGCATCTTTTAATTTCATGGCTGCAGTCGCCATCTACAATGATTTTGGAGCCCCCAAAAATAATCTTACTGGATTTAGTCATCAGTTAATTCTCCAAAAAGGTATTTCATGGAGAATGGAGGAGTTCTGAATTATTGATGTGTCAACCAAGGAAGTATGTTACCTTTTTACAGTGACAGTTTGCTTAAGTAGGCAGCATAGTTGTTGCAAATCCTATAGTTCAGTATTGTCTCTTTAACATATCTGTGAGGTTTTGTTGCAAAAACTTAATTAAGCAGTGTCAACTGAAAATTAGAACTCCAAGTGCCATTAGGGCACAGGCAAACTTTAGAGTTATGGTGTGGAGCCCTATTTCTAAAGGAATTTGTGGGTTGCAATAGAGCCTTGTTTTGCTGTTGATAACAAAAGCAGTATTGTGGCTTGCTTAAAAAGGCATTTTAAGTTATTTTTTTAAAGGGCTTTCCCTTTCTTCCTTTTTAGTTCCCGAATGCATTTTTACATAGCACAGTTTGCCCTAAAAGCTAGATATGAGAAATGTCCTTTAAGAGCTTCTAGTCTACCGCAGGTATCAATGCTATGCATAACTATCAAGAAAAATAAAAACAATTAGAAATTAACTTTTAAAAAATACTAATCTTAGAGGAAGCTGCCTTTCTTTATGTTTCAAAAGGTGAAGACATGGATTTGTGAGTCTTCTACTGATATATAATTCTTATTTAGACAACCACAGCTGTTTCAATATCTTACAGGTACTTGTTTCAGTATCTTAAAAGTACTTGAAAGCCAGTGAAAATGAATAGAATAATCTGAAACTAAAAGAAGCTGGTCTACTTATACTTAGATCCTTAATTGCCCTTCATCCAGCCACAAAACTAAATTCAGTTTCTCCCTATTCAAAACATTACCAATACTCACTAAATATAAGACTTCTTAGTGCCTCCTACAGTTACAAGGTAATAAAGCATTTTTGTGGTGTAGGGAGCTGAGGTTAATGTGTACAATGAAAATAGAGAATTATGCTCTATAAACATGTTTTTTGGAGTGATGCCATAGAATTGAATCCCCTTGTTTGACGATAGCATGTTCTCATGGGATATCAGGGGCTTATCTGCTGATGGAGTTGTAGTAGCAAGAATAAGGACTCACCTTTTATTCCAAAAGCTTTATGAGAGCCTCCCTAGCTTCAAATCATAGCTGATGGTCATCAAAGCCTGGAGCAGGGATCCTGACTGCTGAGATGAGGAACTGGGTTTTCCAAGGTCTTAGCTGTGGAGTAAGACTGCAGTGTTGAGGCGGGAGCAGATAGGACAGAAACAGCCTGAAGATTGCAGATGAGCAATTAGTGAGCGTGAACTAAGAGTGATGACAATGACAGTAACGATAGGTAAGTTTTTTTTTGGAGTCCTTATTATTGTTAAACACACACATGGTCTTATGTACATAAATTTCCACCATGACCCCATTTTGAAACTGCTGCTCAGAGAGGTTAATTCCCAAGATTTGAACCTAAGCAGTTTGGTTCCAGAGTCTGGGAATGGACTCTGGAGCGAATTTCTCATTTGTTCTGAGAATGGATATTGGGAATGGTCTCTATTTATTGTGCCTGTGTGCTAAGTCGCTTCAGTTGTATCCCACTCTTTGTGACCCATGGACTGTAGCCCACTAGGCTCCTCTGTCCGTGGGACTCTCCAGGCAAGAATTCTGGATTGGGTTGCCATACCCTCCTCCATGGGAACCTCCTCACCCAGGGATCAAACCTGTGTCTCTTCTGACTCCTGCATTGGCAGAGGGTTCTTTACCACTAGCACCACCATTCTAAGTACTTACCCTTATCAACTCATTAATCCTGACAGTAACCTATGTAGTAGGTGCTTTTATTTATTAGCCCTCTTTCACAGTTAGGGGAAAAAGAGATACAGGGAGGTTAAGTAAACTGCCTAAATGAAGTAACTGGCTCTTGTAATAAAGTTTAGTATGAGCTAAAACCAGGCTTTGAATCCAGGTATTTATCCCAAGAGAAGTCACTGTTAATGACTATTTTATTACCTCTTGGAGGATAGGTACTTCTTGTGACAGGTGATGGGTACTGTTATGAAAAATGAGAATCACATGGTAAGGGGCTCTGAGGGAGTTTTCAGTTGAACTCAAGAGGTAACTACTGGAAAGGAGGAGATTGAGGCATCAAGGAGTGGCTGTGAGCAAGTGAGGGTAGAGGGGATAATCGTGGTCTGGGGAGGATGGCCTAGTGGGGCGGCACATTTTGCTTTGAGGGAGGATGTGCTACCACCAACCTGAGTAACCGCTCGGCCTCTCTGGAGCTTCATTTTCAGATCAAAACCGTGAGAAAATCGAGCTAGTCAATTTTAAGGTTCCCAAAGGTTGAGAGAGTTTGAGAGGCCAATAATCAAATTGTGTCAACACCATTTCTAACACAAAATTGATGGCCTTGAGAAGTATAAGACCCCAAAGAAGATTTAGGGAACTTACTTCATTGAAACTGTTTTTCTTCAATGCTCTTATTTCTAGAGACTTTAGAGGATTACATATCTTGGTCTTGAATTACTTTTTTTATTCTCTTCCCATCTTAATTTCTTTGTCTCTATAACAGAAATAATAATGTTTATTTACTCTGTAGCTTTGCTGTAGGGATTAAATGTAGTGATACTTTGGCCCTTAATATTCTCTAGAAATACATTATAGAATTTTTTCACTAAAATGTCTATCTGAACCTTTGGACATGTGTTTTCTGACAAGAAACTATCACTTTCTTAGACTTTTTTATTTCTGGCACCAGCACTTGGCTTTCTTTTCAGGGTGTCTTTTATTTGTACATGAAAAGAGGGTTTTGTTTTCATTTTTCTAATCACTTAATCATTTTGACCCATTGTGCATAATCTCTATATACATGTCTGCTCAAGGAACATCTACACTGCACTGAGGCACTAGGAAGATTCGAGGCCCATTCACTAGTAAAAGCATATCTCTCAGAGTTCTGATGCCCAATATTCATTCTATGTCTCAATAAAATTATCTTCATACACATAAATATATAGCATATATATTTATGTAAATTATAGCATGTATTTATACTAATCTCATAGTATATATTATATATATATAAGTTATGGATTCATTTTTCTTTGGGGCCAGTTGGGGCCAAATTTGAAATCAAGTATGTTATATCTGAAAAATAGAAAACAAAAATTAGAAAGCACATTAATACCACAAAATACCATACAAATATCAGTTGTTGCTATTTCAAGTGACAGTTGGAACTCAAGGATCATAAAGTAATCAGACCTCCTCAGTGCACAGTGGAGCAGTCATTATCACATGGGCTTTTGAGTTATAATTACTAGACTGAAAAGCCCACTGCTATTGATATCAACTTAGATAAATTAACCTCTTCTCACTTTGTTTATTCATTCGTAAAATGAGGACAATAATAATACCCAACTTCACAGGATTATTTACCTTGAATACATGCAAAGCCCCTAACGGTATGTATAATATACACACAGAACATGTTCAATAAATCTTAGCTATTCTTATTAATGCTCTGAAATCTAGCTGATGACTTTACTTCTTATTTTATAAAAAAATTTTTTTTTGTCTTGAGTAAGAGGCTATTTTCCTAAATTTACTTGAAACTTTGAAACAGTGGGAATAAATGGAAATAATTTAGTTCATCCATGAAGTCTTGTTCTTTCATTTAAAAGCAGTGGCTGCCATTATATAGACTTTTTTTTTAAAGTTTTTTTTTTTTTTACATAAATTTTAACTTTTTTTAGTTGGACCAGAGCCTTCCTTTTGTTATGGGCTACATGAATGAAAGGAAAGAGCCTTTTTATAAGATACTTTTCTCTGGAGAAGTCTCTGGAAGAATTACTTTGTGGCACATCCCTGATGTTCCTGTGTCCAAGTTTGATGGTTCTCCTAGAGGTAAGACAAATTCTATTTTTAATCACCTGTCTTCTAAGAAATACTTTATAATTAATCTGGCGTTTTTTTTTTTTTTAAGTTAAGTAATAGGAGGCTTCAAACAAGAGAAAGTTCTCATGTACCACTATGCGTTAGATGCTAACATAAATATAGGTATAAACATGATGCTTATAGACCTTATACAATAGTGCGGCCCCTGATGCTTATAGATCTTATACAGTAGTGTGGCCACTGTAATTCAAATTAACATCAGCTTATTGTGAGTGATGTTTTATTGAGTTGAAATGAATGTTGACAATATGAATACAGGGTAGACTGATAAATCACATTCATATTTTTGAATCTGTCATTTCCATATCCTGTACTCCTTTTCAACTAATTTCTCTATTTGAAAGAGTTTCTCAGTTCTTTTTCAGTTGAATTAAGTCTAAAAATGACTCCACTATTGCACATCTATTCTTCTGAGGCTCCTTAAGGGAGAGAGAACCAATAAAAAAGCATTTGGAGTGAAAACAATGCAGAGCAGAACTTTCTGCCTATAGCACACTATTAGGATGGCAAAAAAGCCTCTCTGTGCCCCAAGGTATGGTGCCTTGATACTACTTTCTATATCTGTGATGAATTTATAAACCAAATTTTTCCCTTTTGTGTGTTTTCTTCTTAGAGATACCAATAACTACCACTTGGACTCTTCAAGATAATTTTGATAAGCATTATACCACATCACAAAGTATTAGTGACTACTTCTCTGGGTTTAAAGATGAGAATGAAACTGTGGTTGTGACTTCATCAGAGTATGTTCCAAGTCTTGATAAACTAATATGTGGCTGTGAAGATGGGACAATTTTCATTACACAGGCTTTGAATGCTGCCAAAGCAGGACTTCTCGAAGGCGGTTCTTTACTAAAAGGTCTTGAATTTAATTTGACCCTATTTATTCAATTTACCTAAGCTTCAACTAATAAGCTATACTAAGAAGATTGCTGTAGCTTAAAAAATTGTAGGCATTTGCTAGTAAATTTGTGCACGTTTTAATGCTAAAGTAAAACACATATAGGTTTTTTAAAAAGTCAAATAGAAGACTATATGATGAGATATAATTTCTTTCCTTATTTGATCTTCCAGGAAGATCACCAAAGGCAAGTGCTAATAAGTTTCTTTATACCCTTTCTGAAATTTCCTATGCATATATAGGCATATAACAAGATAGCAGTATACATTCTTTTAGTTGTATTATAAAAATAAAACCACAGCCTACATATTTTACTAAAATATTCTTAAATCATAATAAAATATTTTGGAGCACATTCTTTATGACTTCATTTTAAATGATTAATATTTTAATTTAAAAAGTCTCCTATGATGTGTGTTTAAGATTTTTCTAGCCTTTGGCTAGACTATAGACAATGCAGAATTAACTCTCTTTGCACATATATGTGGGTACATGTATAGAATTATTTTCCAGTAGAATTACTAGATCAACCCTTATGTATATTTTTAATTTTGAAAATATATCTTAAAATGTTTTCCAAAGTACATCAATATACCTGTGTATCCACTAACACACATGTATAAAAATGCCTTTTTCCTCAAACCTTAGCCAAACTTCTATTCTATTCAACTTTTTAATATTTTCCAATCGGGAAAAAGTGGTATCTTCCTATTTTAGTTTTTCATTTTTGTGTCAATGAAATATAAATATGTTTTTACATACCTTTGTGCATTACAACAGCAAAAATATATTAAGTAAAGACCATTATGCAGAAAGTTGTCTTATGTAAAAGAAGGAAATATAGAGGTGACTGAGATTTGGAGTTGTGTAGGTAAATTTGTTTGAAGAGGGCATGGCAACCCACTCCAGTATTCTTGCCTGGAGTGTCCCCAAGGACAGAGAAGCCTGACAGGCTACTGTCCATGGAGTCACAAAAGAGTCAGACAGAACTTAGTGACTAAACAACGAAGACAACAACAGTGTACTGCTATATGTCTCAATGGCCGATGCTAAAAGTTAGTAAAAAAGCTTAAGACCTTAGCATATTTTATCTTGGCTGATTTATCTTATCCAGAAAAAAAAAGTAGATACCTACATTTGACTGGTAGCATCTGAATTAATATTCATCTTGGTTTGTTAGTGGATATAAAATGAAGAGGTGGCTGATGGAATAGAAGTAATAATGATTCTTTGGGACCCAGTGTAAATAAAAAGAGATTGTGGTCTGTGGTCCTCTTTAATTTTTTTGAGTTTAGCCAATAATGAAGGAAGAAGAAGTGTGGAAACTGGGTATCAGTAAGTTGTATTCTACTACAGCTGTGGTATGAAATACTCAGGTTTCATATGGTATGAAACCCAGGTTTTCATACCCAGGTTCTCCTACCAAGTGCCAATGCTAAGAAACTATGTACATTATCTTATTTCACATAGTTGTCTTGTGTGAAGTAAGGGCTATTTTATCACACTGTTTCAGATGCAGTACCTGTGGCTTAGAGGGAAAAATCAAGGTGTCCATGGTGACTCATCTAGTAACCAACAGACCCAGAAAAACAAAACCAGATTTGTTTAATAGCAAAGCTATGCTCTTAAACATTATGCTGTGTTTCTGCACACTTGAATTCAAGTCACTTAACCCTTCTGAGCCTCAGATGCTTTATCAGTAAAACGAAGTGGTGGAACTAGGTAAACTGTAATATCTTCTGAAGCAAAAATATTCTGTTAAACTTTGGTTTACTTTTATACTAGATGTGATGGTGTTGTTTTAAAGGACAGCAGAAATGTTCTGAGATTATTTTTGTAGACACAGAATGTATGAACTGTCACTCTTTTATGACAGAGTTTGCTATTTCTTGGTACTGGAACTGGTAACTTGCTAACATCCTTAAAGAATTAGTTGACTTTGAACAACCAGCTTCAGTGCTCTATTAAAAGCATGACCTAGCTTGTAGTGAGGCACTTGCCTTTTGAAATAATCCAAGGGTTGTTCTCATCAGGTGGCCGAAGTATTGGAGATTGAGCTTTAGCATCAGTTCTTCCAATGAATATTCAGGGTTGTTTCCTTTAGGATTAACTGGTTGATCTCCTAGCTATCCAAGGGACTCTCAAAAGTCTTCTCCAGGACCACAGTTCAAAAGCATCAGTTCTTCAGTGTTCAGCCTTCTTTATGGTCCAATGCAAAAGACCCTGATGCTGGGACAGATTGAGGGCAGGCAGAGAAGGAAGCGACAAAGGATGAGATGGTTAGATAGCATCATGACTCAATGGATGTGTTTCAGCAAACTCTGGGAGATGGTGAAGAACAGGGAAGCCTGGTGTGCTGCAGTCCATGGGGTTGCAAAGAGTCAGACACAACTTAGCAATTGCACAACAACAAAGGGTTGTTTATTAATTTTCTTAGTCAACGCCTACTTTTAATTATATGCAGTTTTCTTACACTAAAAATTTATAAAAGAAAATTTCAGGACTATTTCTTAAAAATAACTTTCTTTTATTATTTGGTATTTGCTTGTTTTCCAGGTTCCCTTCCTCAGAAAGTTCTCAAAGGTCATCATCACAGTGTTACTTCCTTGCTTTACCCACATGGTCTCTCTTCAAAATTAGACCAAAGTTGGCTGGTATCTGGGGACCAGGACTCATGGGTCATCTTGTGGAATATCTTTGCTGAAGAAATTTTGCATAAATTCTTTTTGCAAGCTGGCCTGGTAACAAGTCTTTTGATGTCTCCAGAGAATTTCAAAGTAAGTTAAGATGATGGGTGAAACGTAACACATAAATTTAAGTTATATAACATTTCAGAACATTTAAAAACTCTAAGGAAAAATATCTCGTCGTTTCACGGAAAAGAAAAAATACCCATAATACAACTGGGTGATTTTTATGAATTTGTTTTCTTATTTGTTATGAATTATATTATTTTTACAGCTTATACAGATAAAGTGGTTCTAAAGCAAAAGTCTCATCAATTTTTGCCTTTACAAAAGTCAGTTAATTCTCTTTAACTTACACTTACTTACACTTTTTCCCCTACTTCTACATCTTAATTTTTAGTGAAATTATATTTTCTTTTTAAATAAAAAGTAATGGACACTGAGGGCTTCCAGATGGTGCTAATGGTAAAGAACCTACCACCCAGTGCAGGAGATATAAGAGACTCAGGTTTGATCTATGAGTTGGGAACATTCCCTGGAGTAGGGCATGGCAACCCACTCCAGTATTTTTGCCTGGAGGATCCCATGGACAGAGGAACCTGGTGTGTTACAGTCTATAGCATCACAAAGAGTCAGACACAACTGAAGCGACTTAGCACGCATGCACTCAATGGACACTCAATGGAAAAATAAATATATAGGAATTGTAAATTAAAATTAACTTTTGCCTTTAACAATTTAATAATAATAATGATCATTACATTTTCTTTTTCTTAAATAGATTTTTGTTTGCTCTTTTATTTATTTAACAAATATTTTCAACATTGAATTTTCTCAAATTTATGAGCATTTACCTTATGCTAAGGAAAGGAAATATTTTCAGATATAATTTTCTCATGCAATGTCAGCTTAAATTCAGCCTTCATAAAGCTGGTATCTTTGATAAAATATGAACAAACAAGTTTTGAGTTCTCTGAGTTTATGTTAGTTGACTGACTTGCAAAAATTATTTCTCCACAGTAATATTATGAAAAATCAGCTCCAAAGTAAAGCCAGAGAAAACTTTCACTGTATTTTTGTAGTAAGAAAAAATTAAAGCAGTATTTCAAGAACAGAAATGATTAAACAAAATACTATAACAAAGTTAAGTGAGCCCTACAACCCCCTCCCCCCCTTAAGAAAAAAAAACTATCTGATGGTTTGAGATACCTTGATATGTCTTTTATTCCTGAAGTTCTTCCTTTTTTAAAAAATATATATATATTTTCCTTTAGACTCCAGGATAGTAGTCCAAATCAGTTCCACTTCTTACCCCTTTTACTTCTGCCTCAGTCATTGCTGATTTGGAGTCAGAGCTCCAAAGATCAGGACACATTCAAAGCCAAATACTAGGGGAGTTTATTGAAAGGACTTAAGAGGCAATCCTTAGGCATCCAAGACAAAATACTACAGCAACCAACAAGAACCTCCTGTATAGCATATGGAACTCTGCTCAATGTTATGTGGCAGTCTGGATGGGAGGGGAGTTTGGGGGAGAAACCTCTCCTCCTCCTGGGTGCATGCTCAGTGGTGTCCCACTCTTTATGACCCCATGGACTGTAGCTTGCTAGGCTTCTCTGTCCATGGGGATTCTCCAGGCAAGAATACTGGAGTGGGTTGCCATGCCCTCCTCCATAATCGGCTATACTCCAATACAGAATAAAAAGTTTAAAAACAAAAACACTACAGCAGAATCTGCAGTGGAACTTGAACTCAAATTCAGAAACTAAGGTTACTCTTAGAATCCACTGCCCCAATATGGTCTGCTTTTCTGTGATTACTCCTTTATCTTGTCACTTCCTATGATTTCTTTTAGCTTTGCAACTTTAAATGACTAGAAAAGACAATCCACTTGGCCTAGTAGGGGTCTACTGTCTACTCTAGCCATAGAATCTGTGTTCACATGTCATTTTCTTGTGTTATATATGTGTGTGAGTTTCCTGAAGTACATTGGGCTGTCTATTCTAGAAGCTGTGGGTTGGGCAGGTTCTCTACGAAGTAATAGTTGGGCGACAGTGCCATCTGCCCCATTCGACAAGTCCAGCCTCCCCATATATCACCTGTCATTTTTGATTCCCGCCCCCCTCAGAATTTCTGCAGGCTCCTTTAAAAAGAAGAGGAGAAATTTATTATTAGGAAAAATAACACATCCCCCAATGCCCCACTGAGAGAGGTCAGTGATTGGCACTGGGAGATTCTTAAAGGGATGTCAACTGATGCTTTTAACATAGCAGCCAAAAGTCTGGCCAGGTGCCTTAGGGAAAGTAGGAGCATCCATATCGCAAAATGGTTAGAAAAGATAAAAGAGAGCGCAGACAAAATGCCCACTCCTCCTCCTTCCCCCACTCCAGCCATCCCCACTGTGGGCTGATCAGTGCATGGCCCTCGTGGTGAGGCACAGAGCTGCCCTGTAAACTTCTGGGTGAGCCTCAGCAGCACCCGGCAAGAATGGTGTTTGTCCTAAACTATGCTCAAGGTAATCACATGCTGATGTCTTAAAAGTATCTTAAGAATTTTTGTCCTGTGAGACTATTTTTGGTCCTCGTGTCTTTGAAGCTGTACATTCAGCTAGAACTATCTAATGCTTACCTCTTTTAGATTGTGTCTACACTGAGTTTCCTGTTTGGATTAGAATTTGTATAGTTCTGGGAACAGCACCAAATCACATTTTGAGACTGTAAGTGGAAAATACCAGCTCATGATACCCTTGGGCCTAAGCTTGTGTCTACAAATAGCTTCTTTTTGTGGCAACAAATTAGTTCTGGGGTTTATTTTATTCTGCATTATTTCCGATGTATGCCTCACTGCCTGAATCTGCTGAGTGATGGTCAAGTCCTTCATTTATCTTATGAGTAGATCTGGCCTGGAATTCTCCTCTTGCCATGTGTCTTTTGACCTTCCTGATATGTCTTTGAATCTAAAATCTATTTGGTGTGCAAAGCTCCCCTCTGCAGTGTTATACGGAGAGGGGCTATAGAAAGCAGATCCGTCATTTGGTAAATGGGGTTTTAACAAAAACTCATGTTACTAAGGGAGAAATCAGGTTTAATTTTAAAGAAAGCATTTGACTATTTACTTACAAAGAATGCTGGATTTTCTTTTTTCCACAGCTGCGAAGTTATCAGGTAATCTGCTGTGTGTGCAGTGACCACTCTGTGGCTCTTCTTCACCTGGAGGGGCGGAGGTGCCTCCTGAGTGCCCGGAAGCACCTTTTCCCTGTGAGGATGATAAAGTGGCATCCCGTTGAGAACTTTCTGATTGTTGGATGTGCAGATGACTCTGTTTACATCTGGGAAATTGAAACAGGTATATTGAAATTACACCCCTTTTTATCCTTTACATATGTATGCATCAAAGCATTTGGCTGGGTGGAAAGTTCCAGAAAATACATGCGAATCCCTCACTTCCTTTTCCCTTTGGTTGAGCTACACTTAAAGGCTTTGTTTGCAGGCATGTATGGAAAATAAACACCATGTCCCAAGTCAGATCCTGACCCACTGGTGATTAGCTGACACAGCAGTGCACAGGACTGAGCCGGATATTTCTGGAAGCTATAAATAAAAACATAAGTTATCTACTTTAATTATTAACAAGAGAGAAATTTAGTGTCCTACTACTAGTCTCAAATTATCATTGAATTCTGCCTTCTTCAGCATACTCACCATCTCAGCAACATTTTGAGCTAATTGATGATCAGTAATAATGGAATATAATTAATTACAAAACTCCAAAAAGTTGAGTCAGGGAAACTGAAAACTGAGTGGTTCAATTGAACTTTTGATGTCATAGCATAGAGAATATATAGTTTTGTTTTAAGTTTTTTTAAAAAAGTTTTACTCTATAACTCTTAAGTTGAGAGCAACACATTTCAGGCAAATGCTGGGAACAAATCAAATACGGTGAAGTAATTAATGAATGTGAGTCAAGGGAGTGCACTGGAGAGTACATTTCACTGAAACCATTGCATGATTCGTATTGATTAATCCGTGGTGGTTTTATGTTGGGTGTTATTAACAGACTGGATAGTTTATAATGTTATGGTTTAGAGCAATACTTCACCAAAATAATTGCTATTTTCTTTATATTTGATGTTCATGTGTTAATGATGATGACACAGAGAGGATGCAACATAGTATCACCTTACATTTGTGCCTGCTTTAAGCTTTGATGGGCTTTCATGCTCATTTCCCATTAGATTATCACAATTTCTAGGGTAGATAGAAGAGGTATTTTTCCTCATTGTATCCATGAGGAATCTGTAGGTCTGATTTGTAAATGTGCGAGACTACACACTAGTAAGTGGTGAACCAACATGAGGCTCCCCATTGTTCTTTGCACATATTCACAGAACTAGAAGAACTTTAGAATTCTTAGGTAATCTATCAACTAAGTGATGTTTGAGTATAATGGATAAAATAGGTTCTAATGCCTGGGCTTGCCTCCAGGACCTACTAATGAAGAACTATATGACCTTGGACAAATAACTTGGCTTCACTGCATGTCAATTTCCTCATCTATGAAATGGGAGTAATAGTACTTGTCTTCCCTTACATTAACAAATACCTGAAATGCTTGTAAACAGTGCCTGTGGGTGTCAAGTCTTAAGTAAGCGTTCACTATTTTAAATATTATCAAAAAATGTGGCAAAATCTTGATTTTTGCTTGTGAAATCTGAATCTGTAAAACATATACACTGACAAATGTGTGCAACTACATTGTTTTTTAATGGTTATGATAGTATTTATTTAATTTTTTATATTGGAGTATAGTTGATATAATAATGTTGTGTTAGTTTCAGGTGTCAACAAAGTGGTTAAGTTATATATATATTCATATATATATGTGTATATATATATATATATACATGTATCCATTCTTTTACAAATTCTTTTCCCAATTAGGTTGTTACAGAATATTGAGCAGAGTTTCCTGTCCTATACAGTAGGTCCCTGTTGGTTATCCATTTTTTTAAAAAGCACAACTGCATTGTTTTTAATTTTGAAATTTTAAATACTTGCTAATCAAACATATTTTCTCTTAGAAAACAGAGTCTAGGAAGAATAAAAAAAATCTGGGTACTCATAAGTCTTTATGGTTCCATTGCCCCACCAGGATACCTTGCAAGCTATGCAACTTTTTATTTATTTCTTTTTGATGGGACAGGCAGTAATGGAGGGAAGAAAAACCACTAGTAGTTCTTGAAACCATATTTATTCCAACATTGTATTTTAATGTTTATTTTTATGCTTCCCAAATATATAATCAAGTGTAGAACAGTTGAAGAATAGAGAGAAACATAAAAATGGAATCCTATCCCACTCCCTAAAGATAGCTGCTCTTAATATTTTGATCTACTTTCTGTCAGACATCTTTCTATGTCAATAAACAGATGTCTGGATTGTATTTCAGTCATGGTCTGGCCAGAAACTGAATCCAACCCAGGTGGGTAAAATGAAGAGACTGTAATGAAAGGACTCTTTAGAGGGATGTGGATGGGGACTAGGGAACAGACAAGGAATGGACAGTGAGGCCATTACCTGGACACTAGCAATATCAGGAAGCTCTTACCATCTCTAGGGCTGAAGTGAACAATGAGAAAATAGTATTACTGGAACCCAATTCAAGCTTAAGCCAAAGAGGCATGATTACTCTCTGGGGTCATAGAGTTCCCTGGGTTTTCCTGGTGGCATTGGTGGTAAAGAACTGCCTGCCAATACAGGAGATGTAAGAGACGCAGATTCAATCTTTGGATTAGGAAGATTCCCTGGAGAAGGTAATGCCAGCCCCCTCCAGTGTTCTTGCCTGGAGAATCCCATGGACAGAGGAGCGGCAGGCTACAGTCCATAGGGTTGCAAAGAGTCAGACATGACTGAAGCGACTTAGCTCACATGCATAGAGCTCCCACCAGAAATGCAGTACTGAGACAAAGAGAGCTGGAGGAAATTTTCTTCTCTTTCCTTTTGCAGTCACCTTCATTAGTTTAATCCAACTGAAAGTCAGACAGGAAGGGCAGTTTTAGAAATAGGCCAAGGGCACAGAGCAAGACACAGAAGGGTATCTGAAGGATGGAGTGGGTTGACAAGTGAACAATAATTGACAAGTGGCCGTTATGGATACACCATACTTTAACTCAGGAATCTCCTACAATTGGTTATTTATATTTTTTTTCCTATAAAAAAATTTGTTTTAAAATGGCCATATAAACTGATATGTGCATGTTTAGTGCTCGATTAACTTACAGGATATTTGTTCCAAATGAAATTATGAGGCTACTTATCTCTTGCTAATCTACAGTAGTAATTTATGAACTACCATAACTCATCTTAAGCTTATAACTGGTGAAAAATTGTCACCAATAATTATATCATTGCCTTTATATTTGTGATGTGACTTTTTACTTTTTCATAGCCTCCTCGGGTTGATAATCTTATTTGAGCCCCGCAACACTCTGGAGACAGCTGACAGCTGAACTCCTTACCACACTCATTCCTTATGAATAAGTCTATGCTGTTCCTTTTAGTTTGTGTCTGGTATTGGCTTTGTTTTGAGCTGCCTTTAACCTCAGCAATTCCAATTTTGTTGAAAATTTAATGAACTACTTTTTCTTTCTCACGCTGCATTTCATCTAGCTAATATACTTCCAATATGTTTGTTCTACTTGATACTTATTTTATCCTTTTCTGGTAAAGGTGAGAAAATCCAGGATCAGGAAGACTTTCCATATACAGTTTCATAAAGTTAGGGGAGAAAAGTACCAGCTAGGACCAAAACAGTTAGGCTGAAAAATGGTCTATGAGGGTCTAGAATATGCTTGTTCACTGACATGACTAGCACTTGAATGAATGAATGAACCAACCAAAGTTTTCTTAGACTTCAATAGATTGAGTACAAATGAGTTCATCTTACCATTGGCCAGTTGTGGTGGCTCTTAGATCCTGGCTGTCCAACTGTAAATAGAGCCTTAGCTTTCTCCTCCAAGTCTTCCCTAGGGTTTTTGGAATTCACAGGCACATGCCTCACTTCCTTGTGTAGAAGTCTGTATATTTTCTACACCAGCCAACTTTTCCTATTTTTATCCTTTCAGTCTTGCCAAAAAGTTCAAACTTCATTCTGTGTGTGAAGAGACCTATTCTCTACTCCATTTCTCCAGCACTCTGCCTCCTCTGAATACATGGAGAAGGAATAAATGGACACTCAGGCATTTATCAGCTCTTTCAGCACTACAGCAACTCCAGAGCTCCCTAGAAAGAAAAACAGGAGGTGTCACTGGGATACAGATTTGGGGGAAAGAGACCTAGAAATAAAAGGCAAGGGAAAGGGAGTAAAGCCAAAAGTAATTAAAATTCTCAACTGCACCACAAGCCCACCTTGGTGGAAGGTTAGGGGGTGGGATATAGATTAGGTCCTGCGTCACCTTACTGTAGTTGTGGAGGAGAGGGTGTGAGACTAGCTCCTCACAGACACTTTATAACAACCTATTCTCACTTTATTCATGAGATGTATTTATTCACTTGTTTATTCTCTCTGGTAGAATGCACAGGCATATTCTAGAGCCATGTACCACCCATGCCTATCTTATCTTGACATCGTCAGAGGTGTATCTTTTCAGTGACAGGTATAGTCAGATATGTAACAGGGCAAAATATGGGATCATAGGTGGGCGTGCTTGTCTCGTGGGAGAAGCAAACAATCAGAGCAGAGTATTTCTGCAGCAGTGGAGGCCCTTGTCTTCTGGATAAAAGTGCAGCGCTGCCACGTTGGGAGTGATGAGGGCATCCAGTTTTGCTTATTGATTTGCCGGATGTCCCATGATGTTTAGGCCTGATTAGGAAGGGAAAAAATTGGAGATGTCATTTTGATTAATATTTGAGCTCTCACATTGTATTTGGCACTGACAACTCTGGGCAGTTTTGTCACTCTCATTGCTGAGACACAACAGGGATAATATAATACTGATTTTTTTTCCCCTAAAATACACACCAGAAATAAATCTCAGTTCCAAATTCATTTTTCTTTTAAGAATTGAATTTAAATTAATTCTGAGGACTTTTCTGTTTACAGCAAAGAATTTACATAATAGAAAACTTGTGTAATGAATTTGTTATTAAATGTAAATATTATTATTATTATTATCAAAGGGCTTCTGTTAAGCTTATGGCCTGTGTTATGAAATATGCTATATTAAACAACTGAATGTTTTTGTGTGTGGGAAAGATGAAGTCACATTTGCTTGAAAGTAAAACATTTATTGATAAGATAGGTCAAGAAAACTTCATCTGTAAAGTGTTGGGCAGTTAACATTCTAA